ACATCATCATACATCATCGCACATAATCATACATCATCGTACAGCATCATACATCAGCATACATCATCGTGCAACATCATACATCATCGCACACCATCGCACATCATCATACACCATCAAACCTCATCAGACATCATACATGAAACACCCACACCCACACCCACACCAACACCCACACCCACACCCACACCCACAATCTTCTTTTTGTTTGTTAAAGCCGTTGGAAACGCGAAACTTCCATCACCACCCTTAAGTCGTCTCACGGACGAACTGCCCGGCCACCATCCCCCGGTCAGCCCTAGTAGTAGTAGTAGTAGTAGTAGTAGTAGTAGTAGTAGTAGTAGTAGTAGTAGTAGTAGTAGTAGTAGTATAGTAGTAGTAGTAGTAAGTAGAGTAGTAGTAGTAGTAGTAGTAGTAGTAGTAGTAGTAGTAGTAGTAGTAGTAGTAGTAGTAGTAGTAGTAGTAGTAGTAGTAGTAGTAGTAGTAGTAGTTAGTAGTTAGTAGTAGTAGTAGTAGTAGTTAGTAGTTAGTAGTAGTAGTTAGTAGTTAGTAGTAGTTAGTAGTAGTTCGTAGTAGTAGTAGTAGTAGTAGTAGTAGTAGTAGTAGTAGTAGTAGTAGTAGTAGTAGTAGTAGTAGTAGTAGTAGTAGCAGCAGCAGCAGCAGCAGCAGTAGTAGTAGTAGTAGCAGCAGTAGTAGTAGTAGCAATAATATTCTTACTGTATTAGTATGATGATTGTAAGTATCAGTATTATTAGTCTTATTCTTAATATTCCTCCTCCTCCACCTCCTCCTCATCATCCTCCGCCTACTCCTCCTCTCCCTCCTCTTCCTCCTCCTCCTTTTCCACCTCCTGCTCCTCCTCCTTATCCTCCTCCCCTCCGCCTCCTCCTCCTCCTCTTCCTCCTCGTCCTGCTGCTCCTCCTCCTCCTCCTCCTCCTCCTCCTCCTGATCCTCATCCTCATCCTCATCCTCATCCTCATCCTCATCCTCCTTCTCCTCATCGTCCTCCTCATCCTCCTCCTCCGCCTCCTCCTCCTCTTCCTTCCTCTCCCCCGGTCCTCCTTCCTGGAGCGGTGTATATACCTCACTGGCCAAGCCAGAAGGGCGTACATGCACAGCTCCTGGACCCAGGGTGGGCCTGGCCAAGGAGCAGTGAGTATGTGTAGATTGCGTCGCCCGAGCGTTTCGATGATCCTCGGAACGTGTGTTAGCGCCAACGTGTGCCTGTCCACAAGAGCCCGGAGCCCTTCCGTACGACGCAGGCGCTGCAGCGAGGGTCGACGCAGTCTGCGTTCTATCGGCGGAGCTGGACAAGGGAAAGCACATGTTGGGCTAACACACGTCCTGAGGACCATCGAACATTCACGAGCGGCGAACACATCCCTATCCACACCCTCGCGTTCTGGCTTCCGGGGCGCAATGCCGCGGACACGCGGTCCGCACGGATACGCTCCGCGCAGGCATCCGCGAAACAAAGACGCCCCGTATCCGCGGCATCCCGGCCCAGGGGGCCCGGCCCGCGAGGCCGCGGACACGGCCAGGAGGCTCGCCCACGACGCCTCGTTCCGCGGCGGCGCCAGCGGACGGGGGCCGATGGGGTCGAGGACGGCGGGGCGCGCCGGGCGCGGGGCGCGCGGAGCGGGTGGGGAGGCAGAGAACGGCCGAGGCCCGACCGCCGAGGGTCGACGCGTGAGGGGCGCACCCTCGCGCCCACGACGCACGACGGCCCAAGACCGCCCAGGGCTCGGCCCCGAGCGGGAGCGAGGACGGCCCGGGACCGCCCCGCGACGGCCCGGCAGGGCCTCCAAAGAAGCAGCACGCCCAGCGGAGGGGCCCATACCAAGCCGAGGGGGCGCTCGGGTTGCCCGAGCAGCAAGGGCACTCTGGACGGGCCAATCATCGCTCCAGCCTTGGATCCGCTGGCGGGTCGGGCACGTGCTGTCGAAACGGGTGGAGGGGGGGCTGGAGGAGGAGGAGGAGGAGGAGGAGGAGGAGGAGGAGGAGGAGGAGGAGGAGGAAGAGGAGGAGGAGGGGGAGGAAGGGGAGGAGGAGGACGAGGAGGAGGAGGGAGGAGGAGGAGGAGGAGGAGGAGGAGGAGGAGGAGGAGGAGGAGGGAGGAGGAGGGGGAGGAAGGGGAGGGGGAGGACGAGGAGGAGGAGGAGGAGGAGGAGGAGGAGGGGCGGGATGGGAGCTTGTTGGAAGGTTAGTCGCCCGCCCCTCGATTAACATCCCAGCCAGAGTAGCCCTCCAAGACGGGCCAGAAAATACCACAAGTCACAAGGAGGCCTCGTGACAGCACCAGGCAGCCCACAGAGGGGTATGGCCCAGGACTGACCCAGCGCGTTCACAAAATTGCCTGAGATGGCCCCAAGCGCCCCTTCCCTGGGGGAGACCGAAAACTGCGCAAAGCGTAGAGAAAGAGGAATAAGAGGATGACGAGCAGGATTAAAAGAAGGAGGAGGAGGAAGAGGAGGAGGAAGCGAGAAGGAGGAAGAGGAGGAGGAAGAGGGAGGAGGAAGCGAGAAGGAGGAAGAAGAGGAGGAAGAGGAGAAGAAGAATAACGACGACGACGACGAGGACGAGGGCGAGGCAGGCAGACCAGAAAACCAGGCAAGGCCAAGCAGACTAAACAGACCAGACAGGCCAGACGGACGAGACTGACCTGAAATAGGCCAGACCAGGCAGGTTAGTCAGAAAAGGCAGATCCCAAAGACACCAGAGGCCCCACCAGAGAACTCGACACATTCAGTGCATTACCACGTCTGGTCGTGTTCACGTGAACCGTTGCGCATAACGTGTCCCAGTTCAAATAAATGCTTCTCGCCGACGTTGAAAATTGCATGGAGGGAATGAGGTTCGGCGCACATCGCGTGCTAGACAAGGACATGTTGTTCTCGCCCGAGCGCCGCGCATGATGCTCTTGTACATCGCATGACGGCAACCTGGTCTGAAGGCAAAGTCTGAGGGTAGCGGTGCCGCGCGGCCAACTGACTGCAAAACCGAAATGTGGTGCCGTGAACATCGTGCTCATTCAGTGGGAGTTGACACAGTGATGATGTAGCGTGCCACACGCACAAGCGAGTCGGCGTGCGAAACATGTGCGAAGTGGACCTGGGCATCATTTCGTGTTCGAACTCACGTGTGCTTAAGAGGGCCTGAGCCCACCGGACACCAGACACAAGGGGGCACGCGGCAATCGGATTGTCGCTGCAGCAGGGGCAACTCACCCACCGTGAACCGCACGGTCAATCTGCGAGACACTTATATATTCCATGTACGCCACCGCACCGCGAGGCATTCAGTGGAGCGCCATCAGGCGCGATTGAACTGAATCCTGACTACCTACCAGACCACCCCAACCCAACCCGAAGACCCGAATTTCGGGTTGGGGGGGGTACGGGTTCCAGATGTGTTTCCTCGATGTTCCCCGACCCCCCCCCCACTGGAAATGGATGGCAAATTGAGGCCTTCGGGTTGGGTTGGGGCGGTTTGGTGGATGGTGATTAATCCCATCGCGAAATCGGATCGGATCGGAAACGGCTCGACCAACGGATCGCCCCGCACCGCATCGACACATCGGATCGCCGCGCCCGGCTCCGGCGGGCCCCGGCCGCGGCCCGCGGATCGCAGGGCATCGCACCGAGGCGGCGCCGCGGCCCCCGCCGACGAGTCGGACCGCATCGAATCGGACCGTGCCGCGTCGGGCCCCTCCGAGATCTCCAGAGAGAGTGCTGCACTGCTCCCCGCGGGCCCCCGCGGGCCCCGGAGTCCCGGAGCCCACCCACCGCCCCTCGGCGCCCCCAGAGGCACCAGGCAGCACCCAGGGCGCGGCGCGGCGAGCGCGGCGAGCACCGGGCGGCGCAGGGACAGGTGGGCGGCTCGCCCCCAGCTTCGCTTTTGCCGTGCGAGCTTGGGCGGGGGGGCGTCCGAGATGAGACGGGGGCGGCCAAGAGGGGTCTCCCGAGCCCTAGCCCGAAGCACGTGCGCGGCCCAGGGGGGCCGAGGGACGAGTTGAGACAAGAAGAGGGGGCCACGAAATGCGTGGGGATGTCATGGCCCGGCCCATGACATCCCCCTGGCCATCACCTCCCTAGTCATCACCTCTCTCCTGGACGCCCCCGAATTTCAGACGCTGACGCGGCTGCTACCCAAACCCCCCGTGACCCTCGCATTCGCCTGGCGCGTGAATCCCTCCAGCCGGTCTGGGCGAAGGCGGCTGCAGCGTGCCGGCTCTTCCATGGAACGAGCCCGCTCCTCCTTCGGTGGCAACTCATGGGAGCCTCCCATGTCATCCTGTCGGCTTTTGCGGATCGACGCTAATCGACGCTAGTCGACGCTAATCGACGCTTAATCGACGCGAATCGACGCTAGCCGACGCTAAATCGGCACTATCTCATCGATTATCAAACGCTAATCGACGCCAGTGCTTTCTAGAGACAGAACTACGAGGGCACACCTCGGAGGCGCACAAACATGGATTAGCGATCCATGGATTTGGCGCGCCTCCCCAATATGCGGCCAGTATTTGCGGCCAGTACCGCCTCGTTCAGCGGCGGAAATCCGCGCTTTCCCATTGAAACGGGACCCGTCGCTAATCCACGCCCCCTTGATCCATGTTTGCGATCGCCTGAACACCAGGCTCCCATGGTTTGCTACCAAATCCGCCCCCTCGGACATAGCGTGACCCCTCCTCCTGCCTCTGCGCCGAGGCACCCTCCTGTCGCCTCCGCGCTCGGGGCGGCTGGCAGTCTGCTGCTGCTGCTGGTGCTGCCCCGGGCCCACCGAGGAGAGAACCGGGTCACCTGCATTCGCGCGTCGCCAACAGGGAACCTCTCCAATCCTGCCTGCGATGCGCGGAGCGCGATGATCTTCGCGCCCCTGGAGGTGACCTGCAGGCCCTTGCAGGAGAAAGACGAGCTACAAATGGAGCCCCTTGTTGGCCAGAGCCTCGAATTTGGGGAGTGAGAGGTTCCTCAGACCATTGGGAGGCTCTTCTTTTTGAGCGCGAGCTGAAGTGCACTTCCGAGTGCGTCCCGCCGCAAGCCCCAATAAAGCATGCGGAGCGGGACGGAGAAGGGAAGGAGGAAAGGAGAAGCAGCCGGAGGATGAAGTGAAGTGCAAGAAGAGCGCCTAGCGCACCGACGCGCACCGACGCGTCGCCACTGCTCCTAGCCCGCAGCGCCCGGAGCAGCACTCACTGTCACTCCAGCAGAAGTCGCTAGTGGGCTTGCATGCTGGCGCCTGCGATGAGTTGACCGTGGCGTTGGCAGATGCGTCGTGCTGCAGAAGCTGCTCACCGCCTTCCCGAGTCATCTCCTGTGCGGACAAAGGAGGAGGAGGAGGAGGAGGAGGAGAAGGAAGAGGAGGAGGAGTCGGGGGAGGCGGAGGAGGAGGAGGAGGAGGAGGAGGAGGAGGAGGAGGAGGAGGAAGGGGCACCGATGCCGCGACTCGCTCCCTGGACCTCTCCCGGGGCGCGCTCTCGCAAGGATCCCGGGGCGGATCCAGCCGCGGCGCCGAGGGCCCCCCGGGAGGCCCCATGATGGCGACGACGAACGCATGGCTTCGGTATCGGTACAGTCGGGCCTAAGCCAGAAGAATATCCGTCAAGAACATGAGGCCCTCCGCCGGCCAAAACACACAGAACGTCCGAGGGTACCCTCCCCAGGATGCGCAAGAGCATCCAACAAACACGGAGAGCATCAGGGCACCCTCCCCGAAGCGACCTCGATCTGATACCTCGGTCGATTAACCAAAAAAGGGCCCCGAACCCTTTGGGAGGGGACCTGAGGTGGGAGGGCCGGAAACATCAGGGATGAGGGGTCTTTTCTGCAGGTGCACCGGGCCAAACCGCCCAGATCCATTATCATCCCTGACTGTGAAGACGGGGACCTCAGTGAGGCCACGTCTTCATCGTCTCGACAGGGTTACTCCAGATTTCGTAATAAAAGGGAGGGGGTCTCATTTCGGGGGGGGTCTCTTCCAGGCTATCTTGGAGGGCCTGGGGGGGTCTGTGGACGATGTTTTGGAGGGTTCTCCCACGGGGGGGGGGTCTAAAACTTCTCGTCTGGGAGGGTTGAGACCCCCTCCCTTTTATTACGAAATCTGGAGTAGGGGTCCTTTTGCTCTCAATGATCAGTCCGGCCGTGTGTCTTTCTCTGCGGATCTCCATGCTGGAGGCCGCCCGCTCCGCCTTGGCGCCCCTCGAGGCACGAGCCTGCAGCAGCTCCACGGCGCAGGGCCCGCCGCCGTCGGCGGAACACGCGTCGTCCGCCGCGAGCGCTGGGCCGAGCTCCTGCGGCGAGAGCTCCTGCGCCCACGCCGCGCCCAGGAAGAAGATTGCGAGGGTCACGCGCAGCATGACCACGAGAGAGAGAGAGAGGAAAAAATGCCATGAACACAAAAACTTTTGGCGCTCCGCGCAGATTTCTTGGATCCGCGCCAGGCCCCCCTTCCTGGCGCGCGGAGCGCGCCAGGGGCGGCGCCGGAGGCGCCGCCTGGGGAGCCCCAGCGCGGATCCAAGAGGTCCGCGCGGAGCGACACAAGTTTAGTATATTGATGGTGTTTTTCCCCTCTTCTTCGAGAAAGAGAACTTTCCGCAAGGGGGTCCGCGGCTGAGCTCAGTGACGACCGCGCACAACTTGAGTCCGAATGGCTGTGGAGAGGCCCGTTGTTCAGAGCCTGTGTCCCCCAGGCAGCGCTTGCACTGAGGGGTTCTTGCTTGCGCTTCTGAGGAACTGGATGGGTGTCCCGAGGATTCGCCACGTTCCGCCTGTGGGGTAGTCCAAGGGATTCGCCACGTTCCCCCCTGTGGAGGGGCTCCTGCGGGGGCCTTGCTGGGGCACTGTTGGGGCCTCTTCGAGCCTCTGGGGCCCTGCTGGGCAGCTGGGGACTCGCGCGGCCAACTGGAACCGTATAGGGTCTATATTGGAGGCCTCTGGGGCCGTCTTGGACGCTCTGAAGACCAAAAGGGCGCCAATGTCAAACCCCTCCCAACTAGAAAAAAAAACTGAGCCTCTGGGGAGCCTCGTGAACCTCCTCTGGATCGCTCCTGCCGCGTCTCGGGAGCCTCCGGGGGATAGTCTTGGAGCCTTGCTTGTGTGCTGCAGTTCGGTCCACTCGGGCAGCCTGCCAAGCATCTTGGGCCGCCTGGGGATGGTCCTGGCCAGCCAGGAAAGCGATCTTGTGGTGGGGGGTCCCTGTCGGGGGGGGGGGCCCTGCTCCCTCATAGTGAGGTCGTGTTCCAAGCCTGGGGGGGGCCTACAGCCCCGGCCCCCCGCTGCACGCATGCTTTCACAGCGAGGCGAAGTGATTTCCCGCTCTGGTTTATCCACCTCCTCCCTTCCTCATCCCCTCGCCCCCCCATTCATCCCCCAGCATGCTGCAATGTTGTCCCGCATCCAGGCGAAAGAGGCCGCACGTCAGAGTGCAGCCCACACTCCAGGCTCAACTGTTGGCCGCCTCGGTCCTGCTCGCTGGCTCGCAGCGGGAGAAAGCCCTCGCCCCTCCGCACCCGCGGAGGGGGCAAGCTCCCAGCGTCTGCAGCTCTCGGAGGGGCGCGGGGGGGAGGTCGTGGACAGTCGCGCTGCCCGTCGGAACGCCAGCTCCAGCATCTCGCTTGCCATCGCTCGGACGGCCATTCCCCGTGCACTGCGTGGTTTCGCGCGCTGGCCTCGCCGAGAAAGACGCGCACGTCCGAGCGGCGCCAAGCTCGCGAAGGTGCTGGAGCTCGGCAGACCCGCCCCTCGTCGAGGCTGGCGCCCACAGCAGCACGAGTCGCGGAGCGACACGTCGCGTGTCCTGCGCACGCGGCGCGTCGTATCGAGGCGGCCCGTGGCTGTCCTGTGCTCCTGGCAGAGAGCGGCTCCTGCGGGCGCTCGGCCCACCCCTCCCCTCCCCCCCCCCCCCCCATCTCCTGTTGGGGTGGACGACTGGGGGGGAAGCTGGGGGAAACGAAGGCGAGGGAGGCCAAGAGTAGGAGGCCCGGGAATGGGCACCAACATCAACACAGGGGGTTGCCTCCACTGGGGGAAGATGATCCTAGATTTCGGCGTTGTAACATTTCGGTCACCTTGGAAGCCAGAATATTACAACCATCACTGAGAACGGGATCTTCTTCCCTCGGCGATATTGGTGTTGGTGTCAATTTTTTGGCTTGCGAAACAGGAGGGGGGTGGACTGTCCGGCGAAGGTGAGGCAAGACCTGGAATCGACGACACCAGGGCTCGAGCTAAACCGTGTTTCTTGTGTACGTTTTGTTTTCGTTTTCGGTGGCAACTCATGGGAGCCTCCCATACAATATTGTCGGCTCTTGCGAATCGACGCTAATCGACGCTAAACGACGCTAAATCGGCGCCATCTCATCGACTCCAGGCGCTCATCGACGCTCATCGACGCCATAGACGGAATTAAGAGGGCATACCAGGCGGTCACGATTTTCCACCGAACTCGTTCTGTCTTCGTAATAACGACAGCGGCCCACGAGACCGCCAAAGCACCGTTTCGCTCGAGCCCCGGAGGACACATCACCGACAAGAGCAGCGAAGGGCAGGAGAGCTCGGCATCGAATCGGTAAGTCGGATCGGCGATCGACATGAATCGGATCGGCGGAAATCGGCAGCCGGGTCGGAAAAAGTCAAATCGGCGGGAAGCGGTAGGCTGGTGTGCGCCCAATGAGGGGTCGGAGCCCGAACCAGACTCCCAAGCCGAATCGAGTCGGAACTGGAATCCGTCGAAGTCGAACCGAATCGAATCGGGGGAATCGAATCGACACGGAGCCCCGGAGGAGCCCTCCCGACGGCGGGACGGGGCGGGACGGGGCACCAAGAGGCCTCAGGGCGGGCCGGCGCCTCCCGCGCCCGGAGCCAGCAGCGCCACCCCCCCCCCCTGACGTTAGGTCGGGCAGGTCCTCCTGCAGGCGGATCCGTGGAAAAGTCTGATCTTCCCGCAGATCATGGAAGATTCCTTGAGACATGTGGGGAAAACAGCGTGACGTGATCGGGGAGGGGGGGAGGGGCGGGGGCAGTCGCGAGCGGTATCGCCCAGACTCCAAAAAAAAACGGCTCAAAACAGGCTCCAAGCGAAACAAATCGAACAAGCGTCACCAGACCATCTTTGTGCCGCTCTTGAATACTCCCTCCTGTGGAGGGACGTGCCCGACTTAGCCCTGACGTTGCCTCCGTGGAGGCATGCCCCCTCTCGAACGCCGACAGAGGCCTCCCAGATGGGGTCCAAATAGATGGGGTCGAAGAATCGCGACGAATCGCCAGTGCATCGCCGATGCATCGGCGATGCATCGGCGACGTCGGCGTGGGGAAACACGGGCTCCTCATCGAGCCGCATCGCCGATGCCTCGGCGATGCGGCGCGATCCTCCCACCCCATCTACTCCGACCCCATCCGGGATGCCTAGACCACCCACCTAACGTTGGCCCCGAGGAGGCACTCCCCCTCTCGGACGCCTGGTGGTTTGGGGGGTCATGCGCGTTGGTCGGAAGAAGTAGGTAAAAACATTGAGTATGAAGGCGCATACAGTAGATTGGGTGCCGGCCCGCCCAAAGAGTAACAAACCACAGCCAAAACATATCGATTATTGAAGCGGGAAGGCGATTGAAGTAGATTTCGAGGGCGGCCAAGAGGGGGGCGTCCAAGAGGCGGGGGCGCAAATCATGGCCGGCGGCATGTGCGCGGTCCAGGGGGGAGGGCCAGGGGCGTAATGAAATAAGAAGTGGCGCCATGAAATCTGAGGAACTATCGTGGCCCACGCCATGAAATCCACCTCCCTCTAGTCATCACCCCCCTCTTGGCCGCCCCCGAAGATTGGGATCTGGGAATCCCAAGAACACCAACTCTCAACGGCCGACGAGTCCTTCTGCTCTCCGGTGGCCGTTCAGGGCGATTCGCGGGCACCCCCTGGGGAACGCTCTCCCAGCAAGGCGCAGCCGTTGGACCACATCCCGAGGCGGGAAGTCCGCTGGGAGCCAACGAAAAACGCCCGAAGACCTCGGAACCTCGGACCGGTTGGCATGAGAAGTGCTGAAAAAACAGGAAAGAAGAAGAAACAATAATCAAAACAAGAAAAGGAGAAACTTGAAAACTGTAAACAAAACAAGAAAAGAAGAAAAGACCTCGGAAACTCGGACCGAGTGGCACAAAAAGTACAAAAAAACAGACATGAAGAAGCTGAGAGAGCTGCACGCCGTCGTCATATTCCAGGTTTCGCATCCCCCTCCCCCCCTCATTCCAGCCAGAGATCCGAAGTATTAGTTTGCTCAGCCCCCCGAGGGCTCCTCCCCGGGGGCGGGCTTCTCGTCCCGAGTACAGCCGAGCATGCGGTCAAGAAAACTCGCATGGGCGAGCCCCGGGCCAACCGATTTCCACGCCGAAAGACAGGCGTGCCTGCGAACTCGGGCCAGCTTCCCGGCAAGTTGGTCAAGAGACGCTGGCCCTACTTTGCGACGAGGGCCGTCGGAGGCCGAGGCGTGCCTAAGGCCTCGCGTCGTGATCTGCTCACCAAGCGGGGATGCCCGATGCAGCAAATTTCGCATCTGACGACGCCAAAAAACGCGGCACGGTGAAACGTCACGACGGGACCCATTGACCTCAACTCTTTGCGGCACTTTTCGAGCTGGATCGATCCGTGAGGGTCCTGAGGTCCGAAACTGGGCGAGCACGCCCGGTGAGAAAATGATCCTGGCGAAGGGCCCAACCGTACGCAGCTGCGAGTATCACGAGGCAGGTGAGAAGAAGGAGGGGGTTGACAAAACGTGCGAGGGATGTGTCGAAATGGGTGCGGTGCCGCCATACGGACGCTGCCACTTAGGCCTTCGGCGGAGCTTCCTATCGGGCCACGAAATGGGCAAGGTGCTGCCATGCGGACGCTGCCATTGGAGCCTTCGGCGAAGCGCCCCATGGGGCCACGAAACGTGTGATGGGTGAGCCGACAAGGGTGCGGTGCCGCCATGCGGACGTTGCCATTGGGGACTTCGACGGAGCTCCCTGTGGGGCAACGAAAAATGAGGAATGTGCCGAAATGGGTGCGGTACAGTGCCACCATGCGGACGCTGCCTCTAGAGCCTTCGGCGGAGCTCCCCATGGGGCCACGAAACGTGTGAGGGGTGTCTCGAAATCGGTCAGGCGGCGCAGTCTCCCGGGGTTGAGACCCCCTAGCACTTCCCGTACTCGCCGATCCCTGGTCCGTTGGCCGCCTCACCATTTTTTGTCTGCTGCCCGTGTAAGCCTGTGCCCCGGCACACAAGCACTAGAACTTCTTGCTCTGAACGTGCTCCGCCTTCCCGCGGCTTCCTCCCCCCCCTTTGCCTGGGGAACCAAGAAGGT